TATTTATTTATTTATTTATTTAGAGGTATGCAGACTCGTGGAGAACATAGCTACGCAGGGACAGCTAGACTGATGAGCGTTTGGGCCTGGCAGCAAAGTATCGATTGATTCGGGGCTTTGGCTCTTAAGACTTCGTTGTAAGGACCCATCCTTTCTGATCTCAAAGTCCACAGCCGGAAGGGTGCAGGGCTGACTGAGGGTCGAGTTTAGGGCGACGATTTCGAATCTCTTCTCGGCACGCCAGAAAGAGGCAGTTATCTAGTTTGGTGCCTCGGGCGTCGGATTAAGGATGCCTTGACTGCTTACTTCTATATCGTGGCCATCATGGCCAAACAGTTTTATACCAACTGTCCCCACTAGGTGCAGTCTCAGACACACAAACTGTCATCATACTGCGCCCCATCGCTGCCCACGCAGCTGCGGTTTCTGTGCCTGGCTCGTCAAGTCCCACTGGTTTAGGCTTTAAGGGGTCAGGGGTTAGGGTTCAAGGGTTACGGTTTAGGGATTATAGGGTTTAGGTTGAATTGTAAACTCCAAGAAGCTCTGTGCTAAACCCTGGACATCCTGCCAGGAAATCTCGTAAGGAGACAAAGCTCCAGTCCTCCATCTTAGTCCTGCCCCAGATCCTACAGGTACTACAGCCTGAACGATTAGGCACTCCCCAAGATACCCTTAATAGAGCCCTGTGCCCCTCAAAAGTGGCTCAAGCATTCCGAAGCCCTAAACCCCCAAACTGCAAACCCAAAACAAACCCTGCCTCGTGGTCGCCACCGCGCAAGCGCCGCTGTGGAGCCCACCGTCCCAGGGCCCAAGCAGCCAGAAATATCGGAAGACGTGTTGCACAACACCTGGGCCAGGGTCTCTTCAGGCTTTTAAGGTTTCGGGTTTAGGACTGTTGGTTTAGGGTTTAGGATTATGGGTCTAGGGGTTTAGGATTATTGGTTTAGGGTTTTTGGATGTTTGGATTCAGGGCTGAATTATCTCAGGGCTCATCTAAAGGGTTCCCTCTAAACCCGGAATTCAAAGCCCCTGAAGCTCAAACCCCAGTGGGGTGAGCGCTTTCGCTGCAGGGTTTGAGTGTCTGGCACGGGTTTCTGATTCTGAGGCGTTTCAGATTAGGTATCTGTATACTGTATGTCAAAATATATTATCTACACATGCGTACATATACATATATAGACTATACTCTCTCTCTCTCTAGATATATATATATATATATGTATGTATGTAGCTACATGTGTACATTTAAACTTAAATGCTAAACTGGTCTACAGAAAATACTGTTTGATGCATGATCTGTGACATACAACGTTTGGTATGCGATATCTGATAGATAAACGAAGCCAGGAGCCTCAATGGTCAGGACCTGATCTTGCTCTCTGATCTGGGGCTTGGGGTTCAGGGCTTCGGGTTTAGGGCTTAAGGGGTTTAGGGCTTTGGGTTTAGGGCTTTGGGCTTAAGGCTTTGGGTTTAGGGCTCAGGGTTTAGGTTTGACGCCTAAACCCTAAAGCCCAAGGCCCAAGCACAACTTTTGGGTTGGGGAAGGGCCTTTCATGAGATTTCCGCCACTCCGAGCCGAAAGGATGTAATTGACTTGAACTGCCAAAAGGCTGCCTGCTTGGTAGGGTCCCTATAAAGTCTATATTGCTCTAACAACATACAAGAATTTAGGTCATGGCAGTTGAAGGTAGGCTTGGGGATTGAAAGCGTGACGAAAGCCACTCTTCGGGGATTCACCCTAGACCCTAAGAAGCGTACACTCTACCAGTCTACACTGACACCCTACGCCCCAAGACCAAGACCCTACACCATAAGCAGCCTGTGAGGCCCAAACCCCTGCAATCTGAGGATCCCGAGCGCCTCTGGGAGTTGCACAAGAATCCGGGACCCCGGAACACGCCCTAAGGTTTAGGGTTTAGTTTAGGGGTTTAGGGATTAGGGGTTGAGGGTTTCTGGGTTTAAGGGTTTAGGGTTTAGGGTTCAGTGGTATAAAAGGATCCTCAGCTTTACTAGAACGGTTAGCGTATAGCCTTTTCTAAAGTTTCCAGCTCTTTCGGGTTGCCAAGGATTTTGGGGGTTTGGGCTTCTGGGAGAAGTAAGGTACCATCAACCCCAAGCCAAAACCCTAGGCCCGAAACACCGGTCTCCCGTCGTCTCTTTGAAGCCGGAGGCACGGATGTTGCGCCGAGGATGCCACGAACCGATGCTCTGCTCCGCATAGAGGAAGAACCACGCATGCAGGTCCTCCTGCCAAGCTCCGATAGTAGGATGTATATGGGTACCCTGCTTAGAAAAAAAAAAGAGCGGGTTCAGGGTTTAGGGCCAATGTGTGGGTAGCCAGATCCATCTAGAATTGATGGTCTAAGATATTTTTCGAGAGTAGAAGCGACTTAGGGATTAACGTAGGGGCCTTAACAAGTAGAATAGGGTTCTGGCGCCCATTTTACTATCATTATAATAAGGAACAGCAAAATAGTATAGGTAAGTATTTAGACCCCTGTATTAGGGTGGCGGGGCTTGGGAAAAAGGGCAGGAGTTCAGATATTCGGGACTTTTCGCTTAGCGGCCTGTATGATGAGACTTCCATTGCTTAGGCTTCGACAATATAGGGGTTTAGGGTTTAGGGTTCAAGGCTCGATATTCCCAAAACTCCCATGTTAAGAAACCTGGTAAGAACAAGGGGTAGCCCCTTGGATCCAAATAGAAACCTGATTTATCATTCGCGATCCTGCTGGTGTATCTTGTGACAGCATGAAACATGATGCCTAAGTATCCGATCTGACGGGACGAACATCCAATTGGCAATGGCTCGGGTTCCAAGCAAGGGTTTGTAGGGCTTAGCCTAAACCCTAAAACCCTCAACCCGTTCGGGCTTAGTCAGGGTTTAGAGGACTTGGGGCGTCGGGCCTGGAGGGGCTTACCTGAACCTCAAACGACCTACCTTCAAGGACTATATAGAAGGAAACCATAAGAAAAACGCCTGACAGTGTGGATTTCTTACGGTCCAGGTAGGGCTTCTGAGTGTTTTTTTGGGTTGGAGCTTTCCTCGCGCCCGAAGGACAAGTTCAACTGCCGCGACTCGTTGGGCGGAATGCGGCTGTGCCCTCTAACGAGCAGCCACGGTGTCAGTGATATGGCCTCGGAGGCTCGTGCTTGTCTGAGTTTTATGGGATTTTGCGTGCATGAAGTTTTTAGAGGGTCTTGAAGACTTTTTTCCAACATGTGAAGATTCTGCCGGGATTTCTAGATTCCGAGAGAAAACCGTTGGTTTTAGCAACCCTTGCCAGGAATCTACATGATTTCGTGACAGTTGAGGATGAAGGTGATGAGTCGATCCCAAAGTCAGTGTTCAGAGATCGGAAAAGCACCACTCAGTCAGGGAGCAGGGGAACCCATCATGATGTCACATGGGGGACTTTAACGCGACCCTAAGCACAAAAGGGCATGGGCCACATCTTTGCTCAGATGCTGCACTCGAAAAGCCTGAGTTTCCTAAAGACCCCCCCCAATAATAAGCTAGTCCGGTAGCATGCCTAGGTATCCATAGTACACAACCTCCCCAAGACTCAAAACCGGTGTCCAGCCTTTTTCGGCTTCACAAGGGCAACACAACAAAACTTGTAGAACCTGTTTCCACAAACCAGATGTCAATACCGTCAACCCTGATTGCCCTAATCGATTTCTAAACCTCAACTTGAGCCCTAAACTAATATAGGAGCCTTAATAATCTTAATGAGGCCGGGGGTATAATATACCATGAGTATAATGAGGATCCCCCCACCCCAAATAGTATAGGTAGCTATGCAGGTCCCGAAAACTAACCCTCTGTGGCCTCACAATCTCCCTTAAGTCCACGGCCAATGGTGGGCCCAAGTCCCAGGGCACCGAGACATTGAGCGCCAAGGCTCCTGGCAGTTCGGACATTCCGGTTCGAGAACATCGAGGCCTTAGGAAGAATTTTTGTTCAGGGGGAAGGGTGGTGGTGGTGGTGTATTGTACTAGAATTGTACATATATATATATATAATCGTAAATAAATACATAAATAAATATATATATATATACGTATATATGTATGTATGTATGTATGTATGTATGTATGTATGTATGTATGTATGTATGTATACATATATATACATCTCTCTCTCTCTCTCTCTCTTTCTTTCTTTAAATATAGATACAGATATAGGTATGGGTAAGGATATAGACATAGATACAACTATAGATGTAGATACGGATTGAGGTATAGGTATACGTATCGATATAGATACATAGTCTATAATGAGATGCTGTTTAGCAATACCTCAAACCTCTGACTCTGTGAAGTCTCGGATTTCGAATTTCGACCTGAGAGTTGCGAATCGGGGGTTTCAGTTCGGGTTTATGGGCTTTGGGGTGTAGTGTTTAAGGGTTTAGGGTTTACGGTTCCGGGGCTTCAGGGCTAAAGGGTTGAGGGTTCAGGGGCCAAGTATGTCTTCTTCAAGCGGTGTTACCAACTTCCCGATGCATTCTGTTTCGAACGCTCTGCGTGGCATAAGGGAAGACCCTGAACCCCAAAAACCTAAAGCCAAAACCATGTGAAGCCCTAGACCACAGAAGGGACAACGCTCTCCAATCTGGAGGACCCTACGCTTTTGGGATCAGTGCTTGTCTCTCCACAACTCAGACTCAGGATGTCTTCGGAACGAAACATCAGATACAAATCCGGGCTAGGATGCGTGCAGTCTTCTGCTTCAGCAAGTCTTAAGACAAAAGTGAATCTCCTCACTTGGTTCGATGACATCTGCTTTGCATCTTCAAACCGGTGCTGGCATTATTAGACATAAGGTTCCATTCTAGCCCAGAATTTCGAAAGGCCCTACAGTTAGCACTAAACCCTCCACCGGCATAATAGCCTTTGATAGGACCCGTAACGGAATCCTCACAAGCAGCCGCATTCTAATTTGTCGAGGCGACTACGTTACACCATCAGCCCCTTCTCGGCCCTGTACAGACGGATCATCTGGAGAATCCCCGAAGCATCCAACATTAGGTGCTTTAGTGGGACGGCCTCAATAGTTCTAATTTGGCTCCTTTGGGCAACGGTTCCTTTGGCGGTTTCTACATGGGCTTCTGGGACCTTAAAATTAGCAGAGGGTCTTGGGTGTATGTTAGACTGTAATCTCATCGGAACCCCCAGAAATAGCATTGCTATAGGGGCGTTGATAATTAGAATCGGCTTTGGGGTAAGTTTTTGTAATTTTATGACAAGGAACGCCAAGAAATACTGATGGCACTTATTCAAACTTGAAGAGTGCGAATTCTTCAAGCTTATATATGAAAGAATCATAATAAGGAGCACGAGAACGGAAGGTTTTAAAGGGTCCGGGTAATGTAGAAACCTGATTAAATTAAGGAACCCTGGCCCTATAACACCAAGAGTTTAGGGCGACTGTGGTAGGACGAAAGTGTGACCCTATTTGGGTGACAGACTGGACTCTGTCACCCAAAACTGACGCTGCGGGAGGACGAAAGTTTGACCGACTTCTTGCTTCGTCGAACACAGGCCCCATTCCCCCATATAATCCTAGCAAACATCACCAAGCGGCTGCTCCTTCCGGAACATTAAAGTCGTATAATTTCAACGCGGGGTATAACATCCGCTAGCACTTTTCGGTACTCCGCTACTCCGCAAGGCGTCTTAGGACAAGGCAGGTCCAGTAGATCAAATCTTTTGTCCTGCCGATGTATTGGGGCTCATATAGAAGATGCCCTAATAAGGACGCAGGGTTGCTTCATCAGGCTCCCAAAAGTAAAGTCATCGGAGGCATACCTTCGGGCAAAGGTAAAACCCCACTCAAGACCCTAACCACAGAGCCCTAAACCCTAAACCCTACACGCTCCCAAAACTGTGGTTCCGGTTTAGGGTTTAGGGGTTTTGGGGCCTGGCACAGGGCTGGACGAAGCATCAGGAGTCTAAAAACTAAACCCGCAACGCCCGCAAGCAACGTGGAAGACCCCAAATCCTAAATACCCAACACCCCATGACCCAAATCCGCAAAGCGGAACCGAAATCCCAGACCTCGAAATCCTGAAACCCAAACCCGAAACCCTAAGCCGAAAGCCAAGCCCCTTAAGACTGACTCCGAGCGTTCCGCCCCAACAAAACAAATCCCTAAACCGAAGCCCCAAGCCCTCAGGGACGAACTGAACCCCAAAAAGGCTTAAGGTTCATATACCCAAAAGAGATTCATAGCATAAGGGTATAGGGCTCTTACTCCTAGGGGCCATTTGGTCCCTAAGGACCCTCGAACGCCGTCCCCCCAGGCTCCGCTGGAAGGCTCGAGTCCCAGCTTTAACTCGGAAGACCAGGAAGAGATGTTGTGGGTCGGAAAATCCTGTGCGCCGCTTGATGTCTGGGGTGCTCGTTTTTCGGCTTATAGGGTTCATTTTGTTTGGGCTTTTCGTGTAAGGCTTTAGGGTTCAGTTTCTTGTAGGAGCTTCGGGTTCGCAGGGTTTCGAAGTTAGCGCTATTCGGGCTTCAGGGCTCAAGACCCAAAGGCATGTTTGAGAGCCTTTATGTAGGGTTTACGGGCTCTTGTTAAGTGATACTTCGCCCTGCAAGGCCAAGCAAAAGGCAGGACGAGGGGGGGGACCATGGGTCCTTCAAGGGTTGGGGATTTCGGGATCTCTGAAAAGGAACCCCGACAGGAACCCCGAAAGGAAGCCTCAAAGGAACCCCTAAAGGAACCCTTACAGAAGCTCATGCGTATGTCGGCATCGCGAGGTTTGGGAGAATACAAAAAGTCGCCGGCAGTAAATCACCCTTCTGTAAACGGTTGAACTCCATCTGTAGTATTCTGACAGGCACCCCCCCCACCCCCCATCCGCCTAACCCTAAACCCTAAAACCCAAAACCCTGAACCCAAAACCCAAAACCCTAAACCCAGAACCCTAAACCCTAAACCCTGAACCCTAAACCCAAAACCCCGAACCCTAAACCGTGAACCCTAAACCCTGAACCCTAAACGCAAAACCCCACACCCTGAATCCCAAAGCCGAAACCCTGAACCCTAAACCCTAAACCCAAAACCCGAACCCCAAACCCAAAACCCCGAACCCAAAACCCGAACCCTAAACCCTAAAGCCAAAACCCGAACCCTAAACCCTAAAGCCGAAAC